TGTAGCACTGCATCAGTGTCTCAGCAATGGATGCTCTGCAGTGAATGGGTGCCGTCAGAATGAGAGTCCAAACAGCTGATAAAAACATCACAATAATCCACAGCACTCCAGTCCATCAATTGTCACCCACATAATTGTTTAGAGCTGCTTTGCGTTGTAAACAATGCTTGATCTAAGCATAATTCTCTCCTGATTCAGACCAGACCACTTTTTCACTGAAAGAAGTGTTATGAATTATGAATTCATATTTTAGCTGGATGCAACGTTAAAAACATCTTAATGATGGGTTCATTTCTTACAAACACAAAGCGTTTGTGTTAACTGATGGACTGGAGTGCTGTGGATTACTTGTGGATTATTGTGATGTTTTTATCAGCTGTTTGGACTCTCATTCTGACGGCACCCATTCACTGCAGAGCATTGGTGAGACAGTGATGCAATGCTATGTTTCTCCAAATCTGATGAAGAAACAAACTCATCCTAATCTTGGATGGCCTGAGGGGGAGCACATAATCAGGAAATTTTCATTTTTGGGTGAACTACGCCTTTAAATTAAATTTCACAAAGCAGACATTTGGCATATTCTGTTAAAAAGTAAGGATATACAAACAACACTGAAAAAGCTTGTTTACTTGCTACTGACTGTCTGAAACACAATAGAATTATATCAGTTTAATAACCCTGATTCAACCAACCAAATCAAGCATCGCACAAATCACACAGACGCTCTCAGCTAATGTACGAACACTGCTCCATTCACTCGCCAATTTAGACACTAGTGCACTAAAAGCACTCTGCTCGTGTTTGTCTGTTTGTGTGTGTTTGAGAGCGTACGTCACTGGCTCTAATGAATTGAGATGAATGTCGTTCGTCTGCAGGTTCAAGCACAAACGAATGGGGCTCTTTGCTCTTCTTATAAAGCCCCGTCTGCCCTCAGACTCTTTGTTTTCTCAGGAACCCAGCAAATAAGTGCAGCCGGACACATTAATGCATATTTGATGTGACTTTAGTCCCAGAGCCACTTCATTAGTGGTAAAAGGCAGATGATGTAGCACAGTGTTTTAGGTGCTCTGTTGATGGACACAGTAATGAACAGCATCTTTTACATCACATAGAAGGCAGCGTATCATCCATGTCCAAGACAACAGATTGAGTGACTCAATCAGACTGAGACAACGTACTACAAACTCTGGATATGCAGTCATAGAGAAGCAGCTACTGAAGACACACAGTGGCCCTGAAAAGTATCTGGACACTGAATGTCACTGCATTCGATAAAAACATCCAACAGCATGATAGCACCAGCACAAGAAAAACATTTCCTGATTTCATTCCTATGATTTCGGGGTGAAATATGACCTGGACATGTGCTTGACAGGTTTGGCGCTTCACCCGGACGCTGTAATAATCGGCTGTAAATGGTAAAGTGTTAAATGTCAGTGAGTGATTGACAAAACCAGCTCGCTCCGGTAAATGTCACATTTAAAATAATACACGAGAAATAAAAGCGCAGTTTACAGAGGTGATGTCAGCACACGTGTGTGTGTGTGTGTGTGTGTGTGTGTGTGTGTGTGTGTGCGTGCGAGTGGTGTGTGTGTGTGTGTGTGTGTCTCTGCCAGGGCAGCGCTTTTGTGCATCAGTGCCACTGTGATTGGATTATTTGGTGAAATGTAATTTTGCAGTGTTGCTGTTAGTGGTGTCACACACAACTCAACACACACTGGAATCAGATTACAGTATTAAAATCCGCCAGCTCTGATTGCACATGGATAGTAGCACCTCCTCCGTGCGAGTGGTGTGTGTGTGTGTGTGTGTCTCTGCCAGGGCAGCGCTTTTGTGCATCAGTGCCGCTGTGATTGGATTATTTGGTGAAATGTAATTTTGCAGTGTTGCTGTTAGTGGTGTCACACACACAACTCAACACACACTGGAATCAGATTACAGTATTAAAATCTGCCGGCTCTGATTGCACAGGGATACTAGCACCTCCTCTTGCAGGAACACCACCAAAAATCAATTAACTCTCATTCCTTCCTTCCATTCCTTTATTCCATTAAGACATAAAGCGCATTACACAGGTCGATCATTTACAGGAACGCAAACGGTTTAAACACTTTTATTCAGAGAATTCAACAACATTCTCCAGCTGCCGATTATACTGATCAAATTCAATGTGATACTTTTTTAAAAAAAGCGAGATATGAGAGTATACAAGGTACAAGGTTCTTCAGTGTCACATGATCTTCAGAAATCATTCTAATATGCTGATTTGCTGCTGAAGAAACATTTCTGATTATTAGCAGTGTTTGAAACAGTTGTGCTGCTCCATATTTTTTGTAGAAAACGTGTTACATTTTATTTCTCAGGATTCACAGATGAATAGCAAGTTCAAAAGAGCAGCACAACTGTACATGTATTTACGGTCTCTTTTGATCAGTTTAATGCATTCTTACTGAATACAAATCTATTAATCTTTTAAAAAGATATACTATTTTAAAATAGGGTCCTACTGACCCAGAAAACTCAGTGCTCAATGGTGTCCTTGCAGTCAAATATTTGTGTATAAGTATTTAAAGGTAAAGTATGTCACTATTACATTCAGTTTAACTTATAAACTACATTTATATTTGAATTACTTCATCAATCTTCTTCATCATAGGACAAAATGTGACAAGCGTAACCAACCAGTACTGCAAAAATGATCCAAAAACAGATAATTTGTCAATCAGGTTTCCTGAACACTCCCTTGTTGGTCAAATTTTCATTAAATTTGTCTGAAGATCACCGAAGGTGACCAGTATATTCGTAACCACATGTGTGAGTTTGAGAGCCGCATCTGCTCACCATGCATCATATAGGCGTTTCTGGACATGTAGGAATAAGCAACAGGCGTGTGATTGTTGGGTTGTGTTATTGCTGTGCTTCATGTGGGCTGGTTAATTAGCTGAAACGAATAGAGAGTTCAGGAGCCATCTGGGGTGGAAAGAGAGAGTGTGTCTCCATCTGATCGTCCCGTGCTAAACAGCATCTCTCAGCTTGAGCTGTCTGTCGCTCTGGTGGACGGTCTCGCAGCTTTAAACGCCGCTCCTCCCCAAGATGAATGTGATGCTGATGAGGAACTCATTAGATATCAGCGCTATGCTAGCGAGGAGCTTTTATATGCCATCAACACCAGTGTCAGCGAGTTCGTCAGGATTTCTCCTGGACTGATGCTGTCCTGAACAGGGTTTCCACGGGGTCTTAAAAAGTCTTACATTTAAGCCCTTAAAAAGTCTTGAATTGTACAATAAAAACTTAATTATGGTTTCAGGAGGTCTTAAATTTGGGGACGAAAAGACCAGAATTGGAATATGGCTTAATGTGACGATTAAACTTAAACTTTGATTTTATTAAAAAAACACGAGCGCTGCGCGTTTCAGAGTCTGGTGCACACACACTCAAGTTCACGCCAGCTCTTACATCAAAAATAAGATGGAAAGATAAAAAAAATGAATAGTTTCCATGGATCTAGTCTTTGCATCTGTTTGTTTGATCAGGTCTAAAAATGCGGTCCTGAAACTGCAGCCTCCAGTATTGCAGGAACACAGTATTGGGGTTGTTTTTGTTCAGACCAATGTGAAAATCGACCCATGTTTTTACCCTGCAAACACGCAGAGCTGTAAATGTGGACTGTTGGAGATAATGCATTATAAAAATCTAAACAGTAAAATTTATTTATAATAATTGTTTAAATTAATATAATAATTAATACTTTTTACTTTTTATGAAAACTTGTATCTGAACTGTAATTTATGCTTTTTACAGTCATTTTACAGTTTAATTTGTTACCATAGGCATTGCCCTACCCCGTTCATATGGTATTCATTTTATTTGTGCAGGTCTTAAAATAGGTCTTAAAAAGTCTGCAGAAACCCTGCTGAAGTGAACGGCTCTTCTGTACTCCGTGTTGGATGATTTATTCATAATTCAGAGTTATCAGCAGCGTCCGGACTCTCAAGAGAGCATCTCGACATGTGAAGATCTGCTGTGGAGGATCTCTACACTTACACACACAGAAAAACTTCTGTTTTTCCCCTGGTGTAACCTGTTTTATGTGCGGATGAGATGTCTCTCCGCTTGTCTGTCTAGCCAAACACGCACACAGTTACTAAAGGACCATCTGGATTGTCTGGTGTGGTTTAATCGTGCTGCCGTTTGCGTGTGCATCTGCAGTATCGTTATTGGTTGGCTATAGTATTGTGCTTACAGTGAACACTAATGTTAATTAAAAAGTTGTTAAAATGAACTCTCTTAAATGAAATAAACTGGAAAAAAATAACTAATTCAAAAACCATGAGCTCATTAACATATGAACATATTCAGCAGCAATGCAAAAAGGTTAGCCAATCATAGCATCAAATTAATTTACATATCGAAGTCTTAAAGGTACAGATTTATTTGTAATGCTCAGAGAGAATGTGGAAAAAGGTCAATAAAAACTAAATCATGTTTTTACTATTGTAAGCAGTGTTAGGGCAAGTTACTTTTAAAAGTAATGCATTACAATATTGTGTTACGCCATGAAAAAGTAACACATTTTGTTAGTTACTTTTTATGGAAAGTAATGGATTACATTACTTTTATGTTATTATTGTCACCTGGGCTGGGCTTGCTTATTTGTTTTTAACTAACAAAAAACCCAAAAGTCATATTGTTGACGACTGTAAACGCCCTTTCACACCAAAAGAGAAATGAATAAGCCGCAGGCACAAGGAATTGCCTCTACCTCCGTAACTCGCTCACAATTTCTCTCAACATGGGACAGGAGAGCTGTCAGTGAATAAATGTGAAAACAAAGTAACTGGGATTACTTATTTGAAAAAGTAACTCAGATATTTTACTAAGTATTTAAGTTTTGATTCTACATGACCCATTGAGATTGTTTAAAATATCATTAAGCTGATGATATAAAGCTTGGTCTTTATGACACAGGTTGGTGAGATGTGTCTTTATTCTTCCAGAGCCCCCGAGACCCATCGCTCCACCTCAGCTGCTGGGCGTCGGGCCCACATACCTGCTAATCCAGCTAAACGCTAACTCCATATTCGGGGACGGCCCCATCATCCTGAAGGAGGTGGAGTACAGGATGACATCTGGAAGCTGGACAGAGACCCACGCCGTCAGCTCGCCCAGTTACAAGCTGTGGCACCTGGATCCCGACACGGAGTACGAGATCCGAGTGCTGCTGACCCGTCCGGGAGAGGGGGGAACCGGACAGCCCGGGCCGGCTCTCATCACCAGAACCAAGTGTGCAGGTCAGTCCACTTGGCTTTCCAACGTTGGCCTTCACTTTCCACCTGTACTTTTGGTGTCATGACACGTCCAGTACATATTCATTTATGTATGGGGAAGTGATTAAAGTGGGATGCACACTTTGCATTTTTTGTCCTGTCAAATTTCAGGGTTCACAAAAGATCCCTTTTGTCGTAAGGAAAAATAGTAAGCCTTGAATCGCATAGTGTCACGGCCTTGTTGGCTGACCAACACATGACTAGCTAAGGGCCAGCTTAAACTAGCTAAGGACCAGCTTAAACCAGCTCAAACCAGCATCCAAGCTTCAAAACCTACGAGCATATGCTGTTTTTTTCAACAGGGCAGTGAAGTGATATTTGATTATATAGCGATTTATACAATACAGACCGTTTCAAAGCACTTCAATTCAGTTCAGTAACAGTGTTGATGTTGCAAAGTTAGTATCATTATCCAGCTCAATTCAGATTTATTATTACTAATATTATTGAATATTAGTGTCTTTTAAACTCTAAGCAATATAGGAGGTACATTTTGTAAGTCTTGCCTAGTTTGCAAATTTTGTGTATACACACCTGCTCTGTTCATACACATGCAAATGTACACAAAAAGGGCCAAAATGCAGACTTTGGGTTCCCCTGGAGCACATGGAGGTTCGGGTTCAGCTGCAGTCTCATAATGATCCACAAGTGGCATGGAAACAAGGCTCTTCCTGTTTCAGCTGCAGCACACCTCTTTTGAAAGTGTTTATTTCCCTTCTCGGTGTGGTATATGCACATAAATAATTGCCTGGAGCTTCTTCAGAAACATAATTTGAAAATAAAGTAAACAAGTGAGCGTGTGAAGCAGCTATCATTGATGCCACTCACTGTGTGTGTGTGTGTGTGTGAGGTTTTTATGTGTTAATCATGACTCAAACCATGCGCTGAATACCACCGCCCTTATAAAATTGGAAGCGCACGAGAGCAAACACTCAGTCACACCGCATATAAGGGCCTCGTGCCTTCATTTGAGATCTGTGATGTGATTCTCTCCACGGGTTTCCATGGCTCCCGTATTAAACGTGGCAAGACTCAGTGAGGACAGATATACGGCTTGTATGAGGAGGCACGGAGCGACGAGTGTCTTCCGGAGAGTGGAAGAGAGAGAGGAAAGAGAGGAGTGTATGCATGGTTTCATGATGGAGAGATGCTCCGTATCCCCAGTAGCGCGGCCCACTCGCTCGCTCTCTGATTGAAATTCAAACAGGAGCCCCTCTCCCCCATCAATCCCATTTGAACTTTCTTTCTTTTTTTTTTTTTTTTTTTTTTTTTGGCAAAAGATGTTTTCCAGGTCTGCTTTAGACGTGGCTTTAGATGGAGCGCTTGCTGGGTTTTTTCATCTCCCTCTAGCCAATCACACACTTATCTCACCTCGGACAGGGAGAACTGAGTGGAACCGGTGAATTTACACAATTACATTTAGATTGGTGCCAGTCTGCCCGAGTGCTCTGTTTGAATTCATATTTTCTCTCTCTCTGTCTCTGTTTGTCGGTTAGTTTCCTGCTAAGCCATATTGTCTGGCGCTCGTGTGGCGTGTGCATATTTCACATTTATCAATATTATTATGTTTGGCAGCATAGTTTATCTTGGTTGTGGCTATACATTTTGAAAAGGCCGGCATAGAGGCGTAGCTTCCTGAAAGAACATTGTCACTCGTGTGTGTCTGAGCACAAGCCAAACACACCGATTCTTTCCACTTAAAGCCTTGCTGAAGCTCCCAGCCTCGTGTCTGTGTTGAGCTCTTGATTAGGTGTGTTTCTATCACAGCTGTGTTCCAGAAAGCTCTGAGGTCAGCTGACGCCCCTCAGGCCTTAACAGAGTTACAAACTATTGCTCAGAGCCGTCCCACGCTCATTTGAAATTTTCCAGTTTCGTCCCGAGTATCTGGAGACGAATGCTATCCGTCGGCATTCCTGTTCATCTCAAAGGCAGTCGCTCTGTTTTCAGACATGCAAAACAACAGGCAGTAGTATAAAAGGAGTAGCTATAATGTGAGATTTACTTGTGTGTTTTTCAAGAAATTCAAGCACAAATCTCCATTGCTTTCTAGGAGACGTTGGGTGACCACCCATCCTGCATTTTAGGGACAGTCCCGAAATTGGAAGCTTTGTTCTGCATTCTGCAAGTTATAAGCAATGTCCCGCATATTATCAGTTTTGTCTATATTATTTTATTTTTCCATGAAATTACAATACCACAATAAAAAAAAAGTTATTTAAAAAGTTGCAAACTGGGATTACTGGGGTTTAAAAATCTATTTGTACTACTGAAAAAGTAAAACAGGCTACAAGTTCAAGATGTGCACTGAATTCTGTAAAAATGCATGTATTCTTTGTATAGTCTAATAAAGTAGCGTAACTTAGTCACTGCTTAAGGAAATTGATTTAGTTCATTATATTTAGTGTACTGAATAGGGCAAACTGAGTGCCAGTCGCAATTAACATTTTCAAAAGCTTATTGGCGGTTTAAAGCATATTATCATCCAATGTCGCTGTAAATAGGCTTTCCATTTAACATTAATTAGTATTTGCATAGTCTAATAATAAGTTATCACTCAACAGAGCAACAACCAGGTGATCACACTAAGGAGACATGGTTCTGATATTAAAGATATATTATAATTTTTCGTTCTTATTGGGTGATTAATCTGAGCACAGATTGAAATGTTGTTCAGACGGAGATAATTCTGAAACTCTAGCAGAGACTTGTGGGATTACTTTGGCTTTTTGTCAGGAGAAACATCTAAGAAGCCATAGACTTCAGCATTTGCTCTCCATTTAATCATATTGCTGTGTAGGAGAAACGTTTGAGATATTAAGATGATCTCGTTTGCGATTTGAGAAAATGAAAACTAGATTCAGTTCCTCCCGATGCCATGGGAATGTAGTCGCTGTCATAATGAAAAGTAACAACAGCAGCAGTGATCCTCAGTCTCAGGAACATTTGCTTTCTGTTGAACTTGTGGGCTGTGAGAGTTCAGAATGGAAAAGGTTTTGTCTGATTATTTTTTTGTAGACACAAATACATTTGAATACAGGTCCCATGTGTGCATGTGTGTCAAGACTGATTATCAGCGCAAGAAAAACCATTATGACAATGTTCCAGACATCTCTCCCTCTGCCTTTTTATTTGGTAGAAATGTCAAGCCATTTCCCTAAAATAGCAAATTGATCATGTTTCCTATGATTCCCTGTTAAATAAATGAGAAGTCAAACATTGCCTCAATCATCATTGTACAAGTCAGTGCAATGTCTATAATGATGTCTGGAGAAATAAGCGTGAACTCGAGATGGAATTGAATCAGTGCCCTCTGCTCAACACCATTCAGATGGAACGCAGACTATTGAACACTGGTTTCTAGTCTGAAAATGGCTTTAGCACAACTAAACAAGGTCTACCTTGAGAGAGAATTGGCTTTGTTTCACTCAGTTCACTTTTGGGTCAACTGAAAGAGGTGTGACTTTGGTTTGGACTCGAATGTGAACACTCATAAAGAGTGACTCTCTGTTGGCAGACAAACTTCACACACGCCACTGAACATGAGAGCTGTTGTTTTAATTAGATTTTAGGCTGTTTTGTTCTTTTAACCTTGATATCTAAACATCAGTCTCATAAAATGTCATTGCTGAAGTGTTTTATTTATTTTAATACTTTCTTCTGTCCCAATTATAAGTACACCTTTCATATGGTGGTTCTGCTACAGAGTGTGATACAGTAACACAAACTCTACCAATGGAGAGAGTTTGTGGCTGACCAATGGTAGTGTTCAGGAAACCTGTCTGAAAACAGTAATTTATTTTCCTTACTGGCATAGACTTTTATCATTTTGCGTTATGATATTTATTGAAATAACAGCACAAATAACAGCATACAGGCCTAGTTTTAGCTGTTTGTTGTAGCACAGACAGCTCAGCCGCCTAATTGTAGCCGACTGTCTGCTTTCTTTTCTTTCTTTTAAAATCGGTGTATTGCAAACCTTCAGTGTGCCCGGGTATGTTTGAAAGTCGTATTCCCATGTGTCTGATAGCCAGAGGGCAGGATGTAGCGGCACATCTGGTCCTGCTGTCTCTCTCTCGCTCTCTCTCTCTCTCTCTCTTTCTAAACATCAGTCTCATAAAATGTCATTGCTGAAGTGTTTTATTTATTTTAATACTTTCTTCTGTCCCAATTATAAGTACACCTTTCATATGGTGGTTCTGCTACAGAGTGTGATACAGTAACACAAACTCTACCAATGGAGAGAGTTTGTGGCTGACCAATGGTAGTGTTCAGGAAACCTGTCTGAAAACAGTAATTTATTTTCCTTACTGGCATAGAAATGAAAGACTTTTATCATTTTGCGTTATGATATTTATTGAAATAACAGCACAAATAACAGCATACAGGCCTAGTTTTAGCTGTTTGTTGTAGCACAGACAGCTCAGCCGCCTAATTGTAGCCGACTGTCTGCTTTCTTTTCTTTCTTTTAAAATCGGTGTATTGCAAACCTTCAGTGTGCCCGGGTATGTTTGAAAGTCGTATTCCCATGTGTCTGATAGCCAGAGGGCAGGATGTAGCGGCACATCTGGTCCTGCTGTCTCTCTCTCGCTCTCTCTCTCTCTCTCTCTTTCTTTCTCTCAGCATGCCATCTCTCCCCATCACTCTCTGCCTGTAATGTTGTGCTTTAGAGGAGACCACCACCACAGGTTGCTTTCTGACAGCAGAGAAAGCACAGTGAGAAAATGGTGTGTCTCCAAGTCAAATCCCTCGCTCCTTCCTCAGTGCTGTTGAGACGCGGCTCACTGTCACACTGAGGAAGGAAAGGTGAAACTGCCATGGCTGTAATGACACTGCCGGAGACACACCAGCCGTCAAAATCTCTTCAACTCAAGTTTGTATTGTATGGACATTATGTAGATGTTCGGTTTGCATGAATTACAGAAAGCACAATGCACGGAATACTGTATCCCATAATGCAGTGTGTT